TAGTGAGACAGGTGGGGAATGAAGCCCTGGGTTTGTGCGGTGTGCGAGTGCTCAGACGGGGGGTTGGAAACACAAATGGAAATTTAGTTAAACCAAAAAAAGGTTAATGATGGGAAATACTGCACAGATCCTTGTCCTCTGTCTCGCATTCCGTACCTGGTCACCATTTTAAGGGCAGACTGGGAATACTGGTTCATGTGCAGGTGAAGTGTTAGAGGCAGGAAGGGCGGAAAGCCCAAGATTTCATTAGAGCTCCTGGTCAAACATGTACCCTTCCAGAGGCAACGCTGTGAATGTGGATTTTGGGAGGCAGCAAAACCTCAAGCTCCTGGAGCTTCCTGTCCCTGTGGTCGTGGTACCCAGAGTGCCCAGCCTATGGGGCATTCCAGGCATTTCATTCCATGCCCAAGGAAACACGATTCTAAGTTACTACAGAGCCTGTCCGTGAGGGCTGCACAGTGTGGAGAGCAGATGAGAAAGGATGTAGCTCTTCCCTCCATTTGGAAGGAGATTAAGGGAAGGAGGGGAAGTCAGATATTCCTGTTTCCCAGTGTATCTGTGATTTGCTGTCATCTTGAATTATTTTACGTGCACAAACTCATTCTTAGAAGTGCTTCTGGCGTGGGAGGATGTGCCGGAGCCTGGCATCCCAGGGGTACCGGGCCAAGGTTACGTTGTCCCATCACCTGCTGAGGGATGTGACTGAGAATCTTGTCAAAAATGGGCTCACTTGCTATTACTCAAAGTCATTATTCATCTGGGAGCAGATCCTGGTGCTGGAAAGTGATTCCACTGCTGCAGGTTCTTTCTGTCTCGTGTGTGTATATAATATATATATATATGCTCACTATATACACTTTTCTATTCCTTTATATGTGCTGGAGATAGAAAATATGTGCAAATATTTGCACATATCTAACTGACATTACCTCTGCTTTGAGCAGGGGCTTAGATTAGATCACCTCCAGAAATCTCTTCCAACCCAAATTGGTTTTCACTTCAAGACGGTTTTCTCAGGCTTCTCTGGCACATAGCTGTTGTTAATGCCCGAGAAGTCTTTTGATGCATTTATTCATTTTTGTCCCCAATGTCTGTCCTCAGTGCTTTTGCAGTTATGGAGCCCTGAGGTTCATTCCCAAGCTGTTCCGTGCAGCAATTTGCTGGTGGTCTGTGGAAAGCTGGAGGATACAAAGTAGAAGTTTTACTCTTGATTTCGGACTGAAAATTTG